CTTGGGAGTTGTGTGGATATTTATACAGCGCGTAGTTGGTCAGCCATTTCAAAGTTGCGACGAGTCACTCGCTGTAGATGAGCAGTTTAAAGGGGCACTCAAGTGGATTCTGAGATCGTCTATTTATTGTCATAACTCAATCTGCGGGCTCTAAGCATCCTAGAAATCCCAAAATTACATTCAAGAGCGGCCGATTTCCCTATTAAAAATCCAATCAAAGATCGCTGTTCTGCGCCTAGGCGCACGCCGTCAGGGGCGCTGTCGGACGGGAAGGCAGCAGGGAAGGGCGTGCGCCATCCAATCACGAGTGACGGCTTCCCGGCGGATTGATCCTTCGAACCGGCGGAGTGATCTTCCGAATGTGCGCGTATTTGATGGATTCTCGTTGGGACTCATTTTGTTTACTTCGGGTCTTGCGTCGTGCGGAGATGGACCTGCCAAATCTAACACCGTTGGAGGTGGAAATTCTTCGGCGGACGGCAGATATCAGCTCAATCTCCTACGACGCCACTCCTACGCGCGACGCCGATGCCTCGAACGCGACGGACTCGGACGACAGTTCGCGATGCTCAATGTCGACACCGGAGGAAGACGACGAAACCGACGACGCAACCCAGCGGCTTGGGAACACCAACTGGTAGGTGATGAGCTGTTTATTATACCTCTCATATGTATAGCTGATGCTGGTTTTCTGTTTTAAGGTGCCAATGCAGTTGCTGCGTGCCGATGGAAACCGTCGCAGAGTGTGTCTGCTGCCGTGACTACCCGGCCGCCGTTCGCAAGCAGCAGGGCCGGCAGAGCTGCGTGACAAGCCACCCGGATTTCGAGGGGCTGTGCCTCGATCCAAGTGTGCTACAGCTGGCCTTGTTGAACATGCGCCACTATGGTGGAAGAAACATGGGGGCAACCTCGAACGAGGGAGTACAACTTCGTGTTACCGGTCGGGAAACTTGCTGTTCTGCCTCGGCCCCCGTTTTTCTTGCGTATATGCATTGAAGCGGCGTGATAGCTTTGAATAGAAATCATCACTAGCGTTCAACTGCTTTTGAATGTTTTTCGCTTTGCGTGTCTGCTTTTTTCTTGTTTGCCGTGCGTTTTTGGTTCCATGTCCATGCCTCCCAAGCCGCGGGCCAAGGATAAGGACGGGTAGCTTTATGACAGCGTCTATTCTCCCGGCAGCTGGGAGAATAATTTCTCGAAATTCTACCGACGATCGCCTCCCATTGGTTGTCTGAAATCATACAAGTGCCGGTAGAATGCTGATTTTCTTGTTCTTCCAACATCTCATGGAAACACGTTTCATGGACAACTTTTCCTGGACACGTATTGTCGACGCTGACGTTTCATCGACACTCGTTACGCGAATTGCACGCTGTAGGGACACTTTATCGCGCGTGTATTCCTCGGGCCAGTGTTAACCCCCCGCTCTTCGCCTCCGCTTTCCCTTGGCGACAGTCAATGGTCCAATGGGAGTCAACTGCCGGTTGAATTTCGGGGAAATTATTCTTCTGGCTGCCGGGAGAATAGATGTTACGTGGCCTTACAGACTGACATGGAGTCAGAGTTGGACTACTGTCTCTCGTCGGTTCTTGAGGCTGCTCAAGAAGTCAGACATTGCAAGGAAAACGTAGTCAACTATTCAAACGCAAAAAAAAAATACAAGGGGAGTCACACAGACGCCGGCAACATCGCATTTCAATGGTTTGTTTATGGGCAAAGGCGAGCTTCTTGCCCACACCATTGCGCATGCGCGGCGCCGGTGGCGTCTGCTAGGGGCGCTCCAGTTTGTTTATAAACATGAGTTGGTGTATAGTTAGTTGTGCCGATCATTTGTTTGTTTGCAAATACATCACATGCACAGCGAAAGGAAACATAAAAGAGAACCATAATATATGATGGTTTTTCCGGGGAAACAATCACAAGGGAGGTGTAGATTTCAGAGTAGCGAATATTGCTTATTACATCTGATTAGTCTGGTCATTGCCTCAGGTGTATGGCTGGTGGGTGTTCCTTACATTCAATAAATGTGGACATTGTTTCAGGCGCTTCCGGTTCGCTGCCTATAGGCAGCGTGTGCTTTGGCTGTGGCGGAGACTTGGACAGAAGAACAGGCGACCACTGCCCTCCTGCATGGTCAAGGCAATTAGAGGTCACTTTGCCAGCGACACCTACTCCGGGTTTCGGTACCCCTCCCTTTAAAAAAATAAAAGCGCTAAACAATGCATTGCCCAGCAGTCGTTCTTCACCCAAAATGTAATGTTAGGCGTTAGAACCAGATGACAACTTATTTTTGTCCAGTTCAATGTCATTATCGATTTTCATGTTTCAGCGAGAACATTGGGAGTTTTCATTGGCTGCCATCTTCTTGGCGCCTTTGAGCACTTACTGCTATACTCCGTGTCACCTAACAACCGACTGCTGTGGATGCTACGAGCCATTGAGGCGAATCCAAGGCACTTTGAGAGTTTCCCATAACCTTTGAGAAAAAGCACGTTTTTTCAAGATCCTCTTCCTTATCGTTCTCGCGGCGAGATAAGCTGCGAGCCACGCGCTTTCCACGACGGAGCCGCGTCGCCGCGTGGGCACATCACTCCCGCGTAACAAGGCGAGGAGAAAACGTAGTTCGCTCTTTTTCAAACAATAATAGCTGTATTACGTCACCTACAGCCAAAGATTTGACGTTGTTGTCAAAATATAATGTGCATGTGTCTAAAAAGAGCAATAATAATAACTTTAGCAATCTTTTCGCAGTTCGCTATTTCTATTGGTCGAATTCTATGGAGGTGGTGGAGACACGGGATGGACCCCGCAAGAGGATATAGTGCCTGTGTATTTCTATTGCTGTGAGTTTACTAGGGCGCCTTGCCATTTAGAACTGGTCATTTTTATTGGCTGAAGCCCAACAAACAATATGCTTCCAAAAACAAGCTTCTCCAAAAAGCACTTGAGTGCCCCTTTAAGCCAATACAGTATAACCGCTAGCCTGGGGTCTTTAGATCTTTAACGTGCACCACGCAGGAGTGATACACAACCGCAGGCCGGGACGATGCTCATCCAGATCGAAACGGGCAGAGGTGGGGATTCAACCCAGAATCCCTGGTTGATTAGTACAAAACGTAAACATCGCAGGAGCTTCCTCGCTAAAAGTGTGTGATCATGCGGTTACCTGGGGCAGAAACAAATTCCCCAAGGCCCAACATGCGACGCATAGATTTCGCATCGATTCTCAGACACTCCAACGTTGAAATAAAGCTAAGAGAATGCGAAAATTGCATGCTAAATGTCTTATCGATCCTCAAACACATCTGGAAATTCGAGCACCGCTAAGGCGATATGACTGATGCTATCGCACAGGTGCTAATATCCAGAGCGATCTCGCACAGAAAGGCTATAAAGTATCATTCTTTCAGATCTTCACGTTATACCTACGTCAGAAAGCACGAAGAAGCCCTAAAGCGTCGGCAGGCTGCGGCACATCACGAAACCACGCACCAAACAAGCTCGCATCCACCAGCTCTGGGCGCTGCCATCTTACCGATGACATCACGGCTCTTGCGAGGTCACGTGACGAGTCGTCACTCGGTTGCTACGGAAACCGAGCCAGCTCAGATCGTTGCTATGGTACCGCGTGTGGCCAATCGCGGTGAGAGGCGGCACAGGGAAAAGCGTGGCGCTACTCTGGCAGCTACGCTGCCATATCGAGTGGGTCTAGACATGGCTAGCCCCTAAGGAGCTTCGCCCCTAATATTTATGTGGATGGTTGTTTCGATCCCAGTACAGTTTTGTTCTCTCAAAACAGTACTGAGACAATAATCGGGGCTGTGTGGATATTTATACAGTGTGTAGTCGGTCAGCCATTTCAAAGTTGGGACAAGTCACTCGCTGTAGATGAGCAATTTAGCCTATGCTGTACAACCGCTAGCCTGGGGTCTTTAAGGTGCAACCCTACCCTTGGTTACTGTGATTCTGAACCAAGAGATGGCGGTGGGATCGCCTTCCAGGCCTGTACATCAAGGCGAGAAATCGTGTGTGGTGGCGCTTCGATACAGTTGGGTATAAACATATCGAGGGGCTTTAGTGGGGTATTTTTCCATATCCTGAATTTGACATCCCTAGTCCTTCGCTTGTTTTTCTCTGCACGAGCTTTCTTTGGAACGCTTGCGGCTGCGCCAGTTCTCGTGCAAGGGTTCCAGTTGCCTACGCTCCGAGCTCACCTCTCCAGTAAATGTGAGCAGAACAAAACGCGAAAATCGTCCTGAGCCAAATGGAGAGACACATGTACAACAGAACAACCGACGCGCTGAAAAATATAAAATTGCCTGTGCGCCGTTGTTGGAGATTTCGGAGTTCAATTACACATATTTCAATGTGATCAGAATTATATGACGGGCCGGCCCCTTTGTCGTGCATGTGTTCGGTTCTTAGTGGATTTCCAGGAAAACCTGATGACGTGATAGACTCGGGATTCCGAAATTTTAGCTTGAGGGATTAGGTAGCTCAAAAATGAAAACGAATAGACTATTTCTTGGGCGGTCAGGTGTCTCATTTAGGTAGCTGGGTAGTTATATTGACACAAACCACGAAACTGGAAATCAAAAAAATTACACTCATGTTTAGATGTTGATTTTGGTAAGCCCAAAGTAGGAGTGGTGCGGGAGTAATAATACAAAAATGCCGAGGTTAAAAATTAACTCCTAGCAATAAATGATAACAAATAATTTTAATACGAGTTAAGTGATAAATGCAATTGTTGAAAAACTAACAATGAACACCACGGACACGAGACATTTAGCCTGGAGCTAAAAGAAGACGAGGGGGATGGGGAATCGCGAGCGCGAGCGAACGAGCAGTCGGATAAACCGTTTAACACAAGCCGGTTGTGCTGTTATTCTTTCTCGACCTCAATGTCCTCAACGAGTACCTAGTGAAAGAGCGCCTCAAAGCGCAACAATTATTTGGTGCCGAAACCCGGGACTTGGACTTGAGGAATCAACCTGAAAATGGATCGGCTCAAGACCAAGCGTAAAGTCCGACGCAGTCAGAATACGAAGATAATCAACGAGATAACGACCATGCTCCAGTCCGTCGCCGTTGATGCCTCTTCTCTCGAGAACCTGAGAGACAGACTGGTAACCAGCAACGAGGAACTCCGTAAAGTCAACGAGGAGATCGAACCACACATCAGCGATAGTGACCTGGAGACAGACTACATCACTGTCGCAGAATATGAAGACGAAGTGGCTAGGACCCTCAGCGAACTGCGCAACAAGATCGCGCGGTTGCAGGCAACGCCAACCACATCCGCTACGGGAGCCGACGGCGACAGGCGCCACCCATCCCAAGCTACGGGAGTGAAGCTCCCCAAACTGCAACTTCTACACTATCAAGGGGAGCTCACGCAGTGGCAACCGTTCTGGGAGCAGTTCGACGCCTCAATACATTGGAACACCAAGCTCTCTGATGGAGAAAAATTCCAGTACCTGCGGTCGCTTCTGAATGGGCCTGCCGCCAGTGCCGTTTCCGGGCTGCAGGCTACGGCAGCGTGCTACAGAGATGCAATAGAGATACTTACTGAACGCTTTGGCGACAAGCAATACATTCAGCGGGAATATCTGGAACGGCTTCGAAACCTTCCAATGGTAAAGTCAGTGCGTGATGTCCAAGGACTGCGCAATGTGTACGATCACGTCCAGACAAACATTCGCGGTTTGCGCTCCTTGGATGTTTCAAGCGCGACGTACGCCAGAATGATGGTGGACATACTCCTGTCCAGTCTTCCAACGGACATCGTTGTGGATTACCATCGACACAAAAGCTACGGAATACCACTTGTAGTTTCCGCCGGCAGAGAGGAGGGGGCTAGCACGTCTGGCGATGGAGCAGTCAACGTCGCTGCATCGACAACGGATGCCGGTGAGGAGCTGGCGAAACTTTTGCGGTTTCTTCGCGTGGAAATCGAGAGCAGAAAACGATCAGCACCGCTCGAGAAAAGACCAGCGAGTGTGCCGAGGATAGCTTCTAAACCGATACAAACTGTTTATCCACCATCAACGTTCGCGTTACAAACCAGCGGGACAGACAACTACTGCTTTTTTTGCAACCAGCAGAGTCACAGTACCGGCGCTTGTACTGCTGACATCGCACTTGATGAAAAGAAAGGAAGATTAGCGCAAGACATGAGATGTTTTCGCTGCACCAAACGAGGGCATCGGTCCAAAGACTGCCGCAGCCAAGCGAGATGTTCTGGATGCAGGGGACGACATGTCTCGTCAATGTGCAATCCTGCTTGGCAGACAACAAGACCAGTTCCGGAAGAGATCGCCAATATACTCACCACCAGTAATACGACGCCTCACCGAGCATCGAGCGTTCTACTGCAAACTTTCAGGAGCTGGGCCGTGAGTGATGAGAGCTGCGCATATATCCGCGGTATTATCGATGGTGGAAGCCAGAAGACGTTCATCAGAGAAGACTTGGCAAATAAACTTAACTTGAAAATTATAGGCCAACGAAGCATGAAGCTTAACACCTTTGCCAACAGCGGCTCGGACGTGATAAAACAGAACTTCACACTGGTCAGACTACGACTTCGAGGCCAGTATGCGATGACGGAGTATGTTTTAGAAGCCGTTGTCGTCCCATTTACCTGCCAAGATCTCATCGAAACACCCGTCGAACATTCGTTCCTTAAAGCGATCACGGGGTCCATCGCTGACAAGTTGATGTTTCCCTCCGTCCAAGCAGAGGAAGGCATAAGCCTGCTCATTGGCGCTGACCAAATGTGGAGATTGTTGACTGGCGAAACACGCCGCTCATCATCCATCCCCGGCCTGGTGGCCATTTCAACTAGCCTAGGATGGACCTTTCAGGGTCCAACAGGCACCGTGTGAGTCTTGTCGAATACTACCGCGAACTTGATGGTATGCGTGTTAGGAGTGGCATTGACCGCCGAGGACGACGGGGCAGCGTTAAGAAACTTCTGGGAGCTGGAGGCCATTGGAATCAGGGATGAACCGACCAGTACGAAAGAGCAAGATAGTACGGTACTCGAACAATTCACAGAGAAAACAAGTTGGAAGAATGGCCGCTACGAAGTCGCTCTACCCTGGAAGGAGACAGCAACAACACTTGGAAACAATTACATCACTGCCAGGTCTAGACTCCGCAGCCTGATCCAACGTCTCAAGCACGATGCCACCATCGCACTCTATGACAAAGCGATACGTAATTACTTTGAGGACGGACACGCGGAAGAGGTGAACGAAAAGTCCCCATGTGATGGACGCGTTTATTATATGCCTCATCGAGCGGTGATTCGAGCCAACTCGGAATCGACAAGAATTCGAGTGGTGTTCGACGCTTCATCACACGCGCCAAACACCGGATCTCTCAACGACCATCTTGAGAAAGGGCCTACCATTAACACAGAACTTTTGCCGGTGCTTCTCCGATTTCGTATGCAAAGGTGGCTCTGACAGCTGACATCCAAAAGGCCTTCTTGCAGATAGAAATTGCAGAGTATGACAGAGATGCTCTCCGGTTTCTTTGGTTTGAGAAGACTCCCAGACCAGGCGAGCCGCTGCCCGATATCAAAGAGTGGCGCATGACGCGAGTTCCTTTTGGAACAACTGCCAGTCCATTCCTACTTGGAGCGACAATTCGTCATCACTTAAAGAACGTGAGTGATTCGAACAAAGACATCGCGGCTCTTTTGCTGGACTCATTTTACGTGGACGACCTACTGATTGGAGCCGCAAAGCACCGAAGAAGCCCGAAGACTCGCTGATGGAGCACAGACATTGCTCAGAGAGGCCGGCATGAAACTTCGCAAATGGAATACCAATTCCAGCCAACTGCAGAACCTATTCAATCAAAAGGAGGGGAACGTCGTTAATTCACCTCAGATCACGTCAATCAAGTCCCACGAAGTCACAAAGGTACTGGGACTGGTGTGGGACAAAACCACAGATTCCTTCACGTTCTCTAGTGACCATCTCTTGGAGATTCTCTCGACAAACATGACTACAAAACGCTTCGTCCTCAGAGCCTCTGCTAGGATCTTCGATCCCCTAGGATTCCTCTCACCTTACGTCATACGAGTAAAGATTTTGTTTCAACGTATATGGCAACATGGTCTGGGATGGGATGAAGAACTACCAGAAGCACTACGGCAAGAGCGGACAACGTGGTGCGCCGAGTTAAAGGACTTGCCACGCATCATGGCTCCGAGACACTTACAGAATGCGGATGGTGAGAGCAAGCTGGAGCTTCACGTTTTCACAGACGCCAGCCCTCAGGCTTATGGTGCCTGTGCCTATCTTCGCGCCGTGGACAGAAAAGAAAATGTCAGCGTCACTCTGGTGTTTGCCAAGTCCAGAGTTGCCCCGCTTAAGACGCTGACCCTCCCACGACTAGAACTGATGGGAGCCCTCTTGGGAGCACGCATGGCTAAATATCTGTGTACTGTTTTGTTTGGTGTCGTAGTTACGCTATGGTACTGGACAGATTCAATGATAACCCTCGGTTGGATTAAAGGATCAGCAACTGCATGGAAACCTTTCGTCGGCAACCGAGTGACAGAAATACAAGCACTAAGCGATCCCTCTAATTGGCACCACTGCCCGGGCAGCGCGAACCCAGCAGACGCCCTAACTAGAGGAAAGACGGTAATGCAGCTAACTGCGTATCAGGTATGGTGGTCTGGGCCTGAGTGGCTTTCCCGAGAAGAAGGAAACTGGCCAATTGGCAGTACCTCAGAAGATGAAAACCTCAACGGAATTGATGGGGAGAGACGACAACAGGTCGGGGAAATACTGCTGACCACTGTGAGTGCACCAACCGCACTCTTGACATTGGAGAATTTCAGCAGCTATACCAAGATGCGGCGTGTCACAGCGTGGATAAAACGATTTGTTCAAGGTTGTCGTCGACAGAACAAGTCACCTGAACTGCCCCTAACGGCAGATGATATTAGAGATGCAGAAGCTTTCTGGATCAAGAATGTCCAACGAGAATGCTTCGGCAGAGAGATCCAGGAGCTGGTTTAAGGCGGAAGTATCTCAAAAGGATCGAGAATAACCGATCTGCAGCCCTTTCTTGACGACACAGGAACCTTGCGTATTCGAGGCAGACTTCACCAATCCACAGCCTCGGAGGAGGTGAGACATCCTACTCTTCTGTTAGGAGATCACCCTTTCACCAAGTTGCTTGTCATGAATGCTCACCTCAGAGTATTACATGGAGGCTTGCAGGCCACTCTGACAGACATTCGTGACAGGTTTTGGCTCTTAAGTTCACGACGAGCCGTGAAGAAGATCATCGCGGAATGTCGCATCTGTCGACGATTCCAAGCAAAACCGGCCACAGCCCCCGTAGCTCCGCTACCACGGGACAGAGTGGAAGAGAGTCAACCCTTTCAAGTCGTGGGAATCGACTTCGCGGGGCCACTGTTGGTCAACTCAGCAGGGCAGTGCGTTAAGGCCTACGTTGCCTTATTCACTTGCGCGACCACCCGGGCACTACACCTCGAGCTGGTATCCACCGCGGCCACGGCGCCGTTTCTTTTGGCCCTGCGACGCTTTGTGTCACGAAGAGGTCTCCCAAGCACCATTTTTAGCGACAATGCGCTGACATTCAAGAGAGCAGCGAAGGACCTGCCGGCCTTGTGGGAGGCTATTCGCAGTGCAGAATCTCAAGACTTCTGCAGTGTTAACCGAATCACCTGGAAGTTCATTGTAGAACGGGCAGCCTGGTGGGGAGGCTGGTGGGAGAGGATGGTGAGGTCGGTGAAAACGTGCCTCCGGAAAATTCTTGGACGGCAGAGCTTGTCGTTTGAAGAACTAACGACGGTACTGACTGACATCGAGGCAGCGCTGAACTCTCGGCCACTCACCTACCTTCATGCCGATAATAGTGGACCAGCGGTCTTGACCCCCGCTCACCTACTCATAGGAAGGCGATTGATGACTCTTCCAGAGGCGGAGCCAACCCACGCGTCATCGAGAGATTCACTAACACGCCGGTGGAAATATAGGCAGAGGCTCATGAACAACTTCTGGGTACGTTGGAAGAAAGAATACCTACTAGAGCTTCGTTCGGCCCACCTTGCACCACCGCTCAGCAGCCGTGCACCGAACGTTGGTGATGTAGTACTGTTGCATGACCGTATCACTCCAAGACATCTTTGGACCTTGGTACGTGTCGTTGAAGTTTTTCCAGGAAGGGATGGAAATGTAAGGGCGTGTGCTGTTAAGCTGCCGTCTGGTTGTGTAATCCGACGGCCAGTGCAGCTGCTCTACCCTTTGGAAACTTTGTAAATCTTATCCCCAATTTCCTCACTTCGTGAGCGGGGGGAGGATGTTGAAAAACTAACAATGAACACCACTGACACGAGACATTTAGCCTGGAGCTAAAAGAAGACGAGGGGGATGGGGAATCGCGAGCGCGAGCGAACGAGTAGTCGGATAAACCGTTTAACACAAGCCGGTTGTGCTGTTATTCTTTCTCGACCTCAATGTCCTCAACGAGTACCTAGCGAAAGAGCGCCTCAAAGCGCAACAGCAATGACTGGCCAGGCAAAAATTCTGGGTCTGTGGATAGCTTTTGCACATAGTTTAGGCACTGTATCAGTCTTAATTCGGTGATTTTTGCGCGCAAGTTGCGGTGTGCAAAAATGAAAAAAAAAAGATTCGAACGGGTAGAGTTTGACGTTGTATAAAATATAGTTTAAGCACGCACAGGGTACGCTCATTAAGACTGAAACAACCCTACATTTTACACTAGGGTTGAGCGTATCGAAAGTTAGCGGTGCATCAAAAGCTAAAGCTTGTACACACACACTGCTCAGGCCGCTATGTTTTAATGTTTATAGTACTTTATTACCCTCAGATTTGGTGTAAGTTGTCTCCTGATTACTTGGAACAGAAAGAAGGACACATTACAACTCTGAGTTGATAAAAAAAACACCACCTGCGAACAACTACCAATCATCTCGGCGCCGATTATGAATATTCAACGCATGCCACCTGCCGCGTGTTTAAAACGATTTTTTCCAATGCGATTTCCGAAAATTGCAATTTATCTTGACAAATAACATTTCGTTTTAGTCAGGCATGTTGTCCCATTTGAAGTTTAGAATATTTTGTATTAATTGTGGAACACGTGGCAAGTTGCATAGGTTTTTTTATACAATCCGCGAAATAGAATGCTCCTGGGTTACCATGTTGCACACAAAAGAGCAAGAACTGAATCGCAATGAGAAACAAAAACAATAATGATAAACAAGCGTGCGATCACGCGAAAACTGAGACCATTGCACAGATGCAGAAGGTAAGGTTTGTTTCACTAAATATGTTACCGGTAAAGTAATTGGTTTTATTGTGCGAGCGAAGCGGAACATACAAGTGGGAGCATGCTGCCTTGAACTACACTTCCAGTAAACAAGCGGATCAGTCAAAGAATGGAGCTCGCTTGTATAGCTTTTGGTGAGCTCAAACCTTTGAAAACACAATTATAATCAATTCTATTATTTCAATTATTTTTATAAGTTCGCCTATGTGCGTGTTTTCTTTCTTTCTTTTTTTTCTTTTTTTGTCTTTTGCGTTCAAGTGCCATTTTCTTAGTTATATAATATATTCCATAAGTCCGACAAGTACAGTCTGTTTCATCATAAGTAAGAAACGCATAATCAAAAATGTGGACAAAAAAAAGAAGACGCAAACACGCGGACAGATTAAAAATGCAGTGTAACGGCGCATTCAAAAGTAGTCGTTAGTTTCTAAGAGAGCAGGAGTTTCGCAGGGCTTCATTGTAACCCGTTGTAGATTGTAAAATGTGCAGTTCAACTGTTAGCTCAGGGTCTTTAACGTGCGTTGCGGAGTATGTGTGATGC